GCGCGCGCAGCCACCTCCCTCTGCGGGGACCCACGTGTGACACCGTCACCAACGTGGCACCACAGCCCTCCTGGGGTGGCTGCCACCCCGGGCGAGGAGCCAGCGCGGCCAGCAAGGGACCTGCTGACCACCCCACGCTCGACACGGGCGGGAAAGGAGCAGGCCCCTTCCCGCGGCGCGCGGGGAGGAGGCCAGGGCAGGAGAGCTTAAAGAGGCAGCAACTGCAGGGTCACGTTCACCGAGAACGTCAGCGCTTGGGCAAACACGGCCCGGCCGCCGCGAGCCTGCCCGTTAACACGGATTGTTACTGCTGTCAACCTCAGCCACCGGATCCCTGGCGAGAACGGACACAAAAGCCGTCTCGGAGGTGAGCGCCCAGGAGCTGTTTGCAGGCACTCTGACACCGCACAGGAACATAATTTGAGAGACCTCAGAAAGCACCAGCAAAAGGATGCAATAATAAAAACATAATTAAGATCAAGCTGAGGCTAACCGCAGAGAAAGGCAGAGCATATATAATTTTTCTCTAAATCCTGGAGCATTGCCATGGGTTGTAGCCTTGGGGCACCTTAATAAAAGTCTTGAAGAGCAATTTCTTTCTCCATTGGAATTTCGAATTGGAATTTCAGTGTGAGTGAAATCTAGGGAGCAAACAGACACATATGAAAAAGGAACTGGAGAAAAAAATGAATTGACTGGAAGGAAACCAATACGGAATATTCTTTTCTGATTGTCTCTGGGAGCTTTTTGCACCTCTAGCAAATTTTCCACACCGCGAGAGGAATTACAGTGCAATAAAGTGTGGGAGCATCCCAGCGGTGAGCGGCTACGCGGCAAGTTCTTCAGCAAACAGAACAACCCCGGCGCTTCACAGGGACATAGGCAAGGTGCAGTTCAAGCTGCACCGTTTCACCACGGCAAGCTCCAAGCCTCTGCTATCCACAATCAGCAGGTTTTACTGCAGTGAGCGCCGCTCTCCCCGTTATCCCACTGGATCCGTGGGATTAACAGTGCCACCCGCAGCATGTGGATAACGGAGGAGGACAGAGGCACCAAACCCGGATTTCGAGGTCCCTTTGCAGCAAGAACAGTGTGTTTGAGGAGCAG